CAACGCCTGGGGAGCGAAGTACAATCGTCACGTTCTACCCTTTACGTGGAATCGCAGTGAACAAGAAAAAAAAAACACAAAAAACATCAACTCGACATATCATTGACGTGGCAGCGCAGGGAAACGGAAAAGATACTGTTCTGCTCCACTCGTTTGGTACATTCAGGAGACGTGGCCCCGAGGGGTGGAACATGCACGTCCATGGCCCCGTGCGCAACACGGCGCACGCCTGCAAGCGGCCTAGATTTATTCCTGCGGGTCGAAACTATCGTACCATCGGCGTCCTCTGTCGAGCAAGAGGTCGTGGTCTGTCGGGGGAGGAGGTAGAGGGAGCGGAGGAAGCAAGGCGGAACGGACGGAGGGGGGAGCGCGAAAGCCGGGCCTCGCTGGCGCGTGCACTGTGTGATCGCACGCAATGTGGGTGGCGAGGAACCGGCCTTCCTGGAACGCCCGCGCCCAGTGCAAGTGAAGACGTGCCTCGCTCACGAGCTGCGCATTACATTGGGTGCTACCTCTGACCCTGTCTAAGCAGCGAACTAATGCCAAGCACTTTGGCGCTCTAAGTGGGCGTAACCCTTGATGGAGGAGCACGAAGAGGGAAAGATAACATGGGGGGAATCAATAACTGCTACTGTATTCGTGTTACGCAGGCGGCGACTGGGAAGCTAACTGCTAGGAGGTAAGCTCGCGCGGGAGCGGTGACGCGTGGCACCTCTGCTGGTCTTCGCTCCCCTTCCATCGCTTGATTCGAATCGCTCCTTCCTTCCCCTACACATTGGCCTGCGCGCGAAAGCTGGGCCTCGCTGGCGCGCGCAATGCTGGATCGCACGCAGTGTGGGTGGCAAAGATCGGAGCAGCAGGCCGGTTTGATACTGTGGCTTGGTACTGCCCCGCAGATTCTGCTGGGGCGACGATCGGAAGCGGCACCACCGGAACGCAAGGAAAAGCTCTCACGCCGACGGCTCAAACTGCATTGTCCAAACGCGAATGCCATTTCGTTTCCAAGTCAATCCTGGGTCTGGACGGGGGGCCCGCGATGTGTCAGAGAGCGTCCTTCGTGGTCCAAGTTGGCTTCAAGAGGGCCCTCGATAGCCTAATATGGTCTCCACGATGGCCCAAGATGCCTCAAAATTGCCTGGGATTGCCTCCGACATGCCTCCAAGAGGCCTCAAGACGGTTCCAAGTGCACGCGAGCCTTCCAGGGCAAACACAAGAGGCCAATTTTTGTTTAACAGCCAATGGAAAAGTCATGCTATTGTTCTGCATTGTCGCACGTTCGCTTCCCATGTGCTTTTTGAGGCCTCAAGATGGCCCAAGGGAGTTCCAGGAGGGGCCCAAGAGGGCCCCAAGACGACCGCAAGAGCGCTCCAAGAGCGGCCCAAGAGCGGCCTGTCTGAGCTTCTGAGGGGGGTCTGAATTGAGGGGGCCATTCTTTTTGAGCCATGGGGCCCAAGACGGCCCCAAGAGGCCACCCAAATCTCCCAAAGAGCCCCAAGAGGGCCTCAAGAGTACCCCAAGAGGACCCCAAAAGAGCCCCAAAATGGCTCCAAGAACCTTCAAAGAACCTCTCATAGCAACAACTCAACTCGCCTGGGCATCGTTTCTTGATGGGCTGGTGGGGATACGCCGGGCGCCTGGGCCCTCCCTGGCGTGCGGGGCGCGCCAGGGGAGGCGCCAGAGGCGCCTCCAGAGTGCCCTGGCGCCGATCCGAGGAAGCCGCGCGGACCTCCCAGTTGATATGCTTCTGTCGTTGCCTGTTCCCCGAGATGAGCACAAGGCCACACGCGGGCACGGGCGCGCCCATGGCTGGTCGTGGCTGCAACTGCACGGCAGGTTCGGGTCGTGCCGACTTCCGCGTATTGGCCTCTGACACCACAGGCATCGTTCAATCTCGAACGATCGGCTGGGTCCGACTCGTCAGATCGCTCCACATCCACCGCTTCTGGGCCGCCAGCTGCGTTCCAGGCTGGACGCGACCGTGGCGTGGCCGCCGCCGGTCGACACGACACGCGCCTACCGTACGCCGTGCTCCCCGAAGCCACGACGTCCGACAATCCTCTGGGGACGCGTGGCCCGAGGCCGGAACGCCTTGCCCGCGGACCCGCCCGCGGACCCGCCGGCGCGCCTGCGGACGCTCAGCGCCCGCACGGAGGGATGCGGGAAGGCGGGGACGCTGGCACGGGAACTCGGCCTCGCTCGGTGCCTGCCCGAACAGTGGCTGGGCTCCAGAACCGCCCAAAGTGGCCCGGCGAAGACCCACGCATCGGCGCATCGCGTCCTCACTTTTCGCCGCCATCCTATTGCGCTCTGACGCGTTGTTCTCGCATCCTCCTTTTCGTCCTCGTCGCCGCCGTCCTCCCCCCTCTCCGGTCGCTCTTTCGGTCCGCAGCCTCCGTCCTCCTTCTACCCCCACCGATGGAAAGACTCGCCCGGCAGGCGATCTCTCCACCCTCCCTCGCGAACGTCGAATGCCCTGCCTCCTTGCCTCTCCTGCCGTCCCCTCCCTCCGTCTTCACATCGTCTCGGTCTTCCCCCGTTTGCTCTCCCCGCTCTTCTGAGGTGTGTCCTTCTCTGGGTCATGCTTGACGTGCCGTCGCTCTCCCCTCCAGGCCACATCCTTTGTTGTGGCGGTGCCCCATACGAGTTCAGTGGGGCGTGCGACGCGTAGGAACCCAATGCTAATTTCTAGGAGAAAGATGCTTTCCTTGCGAGGCCATGACCCGTTCGGACGAGCCCATCGATCTTGACAGTTGATGATTCGCACGGAATGGGTATCTGACCACGTAATTGCACAGTGTATCGGACACAACGTCACCCCTTTCTACTACGAGGGCAGGGAGCGGCGTTGACTCGCCGCAGGCGTCTTCGATCCGCCGCCCCCTGTCAAATCATCGCAGGGGTGCCTGGACTGCTGGATCGTTTCGGCTTTGGTTTTGGATCTTTGTCCCAAAGAACTCCCCCTGGGGCTTCGCCCCGTCCCGCTGGTCACCCGAAAAGGAGCACAGTTCCCCAATGTTTCGTTCAAGATGGCCCACGATGGCCTCCAAGACGGCCACGTCGGCCCAAGATGGCCTCCGAGATGGTCCAAGATGGCTTCCAAGTCCGCCCAAGATGGTCCAAGAAGGCCTCCAAGACGGCCAAAGAGAGTCCATGATACCTCCACGTTCGCCCAAGAGGCCTCCAAGACGGCCCAAGACGACCCAAGAGGTCCCAAGATGTCCTCGAGGAGGGCCCGAATATGCCAAAATTAATAATTTTCCAAAGGATTTTGAAGGAATTGGAGATTCGCTTCTTCTCGGCATTCCGACTCCGTTTTGTCGCTCAAGATGGCCCACGATGGCTTCCAAGACGGCCACGTTGGCCCAAGATGGCCTCCGAAATGGTCCAAGATGGCTTCCAAGTCCGCCCAAGATGGTCCAAGACGGCCTCCAATACGGCCCAAGAGAGTCCAAGATACCTCCACGTTCGCCCAAGAGTCCTCCAAGACGACCCAAGACGACCCAAGAGGTCCTCAAGGAGGGCCCGAAGAGACAAACATTATTGATTTCCCGTAGATTTTGAGATTCGCTTCTTCTCGGCATTCCGACGGCTCAAGACGGCCCAAGAGGCCCTCAAGATTGCCCCAAAATCGCCCGAGAGGCCTCCAAGATGGCCCCCATGACGGCCCAAGAGGCCTCCAAGACGCCCAAGATGGCCTCTAAGACTGCCCTGGAGCACCCCAAGAGGGCCCCAAACTGGCTCAGAAAGGCCCCCCCAACGGCTTCCGACGGCGTCAGACGGGCCAGGAGCCCACCAAGACGGCCGAAGATGGCCCAAAAATGGCCCAAGAGGGCTACCACGAGAACCCCAAAAGGCACCATCGTTTTAGTCCAACCGTAAAACTTGAATGTTCTACATTTACACCTTTTTCGTCTTGGCAGTGTCCACTACGGCCCAAAGAACCCCCAAGAGCGTCCTCAGACGGCCCAAGAGGCCCCCAAGAGGGCACCAAACCTGCTCAATAGAGCCCCAAGAAGGCCCTAGAGGGGCCCAAGACAGCCCCCAAGACGGCCAAGGATGGCCCCAAAAGTGGCAATACGAATGTACATCTTTATAGTCTTTCCCGCCGTCATGGCTCCAAGAGCCCCCCAGTGATTCCTGGGGCGCCACCAAGAGGCGCCAAGAGGCTGCCCAGAGGCACCCAAGAGGCCACCGAGAGGCCCCCCAACGCCAACCAGATGCCTTCCAAAACCCTCGAAGATGCCCCTGAGAGCAGTCTAGGAGACCTTCATATGTACCCCCGAGGCTCCTGACCCCACAGGCTAGGCACGGTGGCACGACCCTTGACGAATTTACTGTTACGAGGGTCGTCGGAATGGCGTAAGCATCTTGAACAATCGATAGGGCGGGTAGGATGACGGATGAGGGATTGGACCTAGTTCGCACTGCCTGCGGCGAGAGAAGTTGCCTCAGTTGTGTATCTCCTGCCGTTGCTAGCAAATAAAATTCCCGACGAACAAACTCAGAACAAAATGCAAAAAGCATGGACTGGACGCAACAGACTGTAACCAACGCGGCTTGCATAATGATGCGGAATCCCAGGGTTAAGGAAAACATCACGTGGGATGGGGCCAAAACAAACATAGTGCTCCCGGCACGCCGTCTTCAGAACCACATATTGCGCCCAGTGCCTCTCGCCTCAACTCCCTCCTCGTGCTCACGGAAGTGGCGTTTCCCTTAGTGGTCGCGGCACGCACAGCATCGAACGCAGAGTCGCCACCCGAAAAAGATCGATGAATCCTGCTGCTGGCTCCAAACTTGTTGTGCCGGATGTGCAAGAGATGGGCGGTTCCTGGCCACAAAAAAAGATCCCGAACAACTGAATGTATGGTATCTTCGGGTGGAGATCCAACGTGCGCCAATGTTCAACAACTCTTCCGTGCACGATGCTGGCTGGGCATTTCGCAATTCGCGTCCATCTCGATTTATTCAGTCATTCCCCAACGGCGGCAGGCCCGAGCCTCGTTGAAGGCGCGCGACTGGGCGATGCCCTCCTTACTCAAGGGGTGGTCGAAACCCGCAAGGCCCGATATGTCCATCTCGTGTTGCGCCTGGGGTCGCTTTGGAAGTGGAGCTGGGGGGATGGATGGAAGGAGGAGGCGGATGGAGGAGGAGGACATGACATGGGGACAGGAGAAGGAGGCGGAGGAGGAAGAAGAAGAAGAGGAGGAGGAGGAGGAGGTGCACGAGAGGCAGAACGAGGGGCAGGATGAGGTGGAAGCAGTGGAGGGTGGGAGGAGGAATACGGGGGTAGGCGGCAGAGGGTGCAAGGCACGAGGGCTCGAGCGAAGACAGCTTACGTCAGCTGGCTGACGCTCTGGCAAAGGAATCGTAAAGAACCGGGCCCCCTGCTGGTTTCATATGCGCATGGGCGCACGAGGGGCGCTGACACAAAACAGCAAGGAACGAAGTGGGACATAGGAACGCCGCTGGAAAAACTTATCTAGCAACAAAGCGTGCGAAACGAGCATCTCACCCAAAACTGTACCAAGACCCTGCGCACGCACAAGCATAACGCACCCCACCAGATATAACGCCAAAGCCCCCGCCAAAAAAGATTACCCCCTGGGGCCCCCGGGCAACCGCTGGGAGGGAGGTGCCCCTCCGCGTGCCCCGCTGGGCACAGCCACCTTGCTGAAGTTCAACTACCATGAAGGTCCATTTGCATGACGAAGAGAAACAGGTTCTGCGCGACATGGCACGGCGACCTGACGCGGTGGCTTACGCGGGCCGCCAGCGCGGCACGCCATACTGGAGAGACGAGGGCGCTTGCGCGCCGTCGCACGCGGGCAGCTTACGCGCCAGTGCCGAGGAGGGCGACTCAGTCGTTCTGCGTCGCCCATTCGAGAAACCTCTGGTGAGAACGCGCCGCTTCCCCCGCCCCCCAGCAGCAGAGGAGGAGGAGGAGGAGGAGGAGGGAGGAGGAGGAGGAGGAGAGGAGGAGGGAGGAGGAGGAGGAGGAGGAGGAGGAGGAGGAGGAGGAGGGAGGAGGAGGAGGAGGCGGAGGAGGAGGAGGAGGCGGAGGAGGAGGAGGAGCACCCGCCCACCGCGCCTCCCCCGCCCTCGCCCCGCCTGTCCTGGCTGGGCAGCGGGCGCCTGCACTCGCGCAAGTGCCGCCTCTTGCCAGGGGCGCGAGGCGAGGCCGCGCACTGGCCCGCCAGGCCCCTGCCACACCAGACTCTGGGTTCGCAGAGGATGGTGCCGTCAAATACGAAACCGATGTTGCATCACAGCAGCAATTCGGCCCCTGACTTTCGTCCTGGGCTCGGTTTAGTGAAGTGATGAATTTCGGGGTCCTTACTTGGGAAAAAACATCACTTCACTAATCTGGGGCCCCTGGGGCCTCAGTGGGCCCCGGGGCCCAAAATTAGTGAAGTGATGGTTTTCGGGCTTCGGATCAAAGGTGCAGGACTCGAGCGGGCCCGATGCTGTCCGACAAACTGCCGGGGAAAAGAACAACCAATCGAAATGGCGTGCTGGCCAAACTCACGCGTTATGGTGGACGATGGAGATGCACTAGCAGCAGGCGCAGCCTGCACACGGCCCAAAAAATACAGCGTCCTTCCGCGTGTGCCTGGCGTTTCCCAGCCCCTTCCGAGCTCGTCTGCTTCATTCTGTTGTGCGCCGACCAGATCTCCCGCTCTTCCTGATTCCAGGGTGCGCTGCCGCAACTGGCGGCGTCCATCTCTGCCAACGCCACTTCGAAGGTGTACGCTTTGCGCCTTCCCGCTTCCTGCGTCTCCACGAACCGAAGGGTCTGCTTCGCTCTGCCGCCCGAACGTCTGCTCTGCTGGCCGTTTGGCTGCTGGGCGCTGAAGTGGTTGACCCATCGCGAGATGGCGACAGGTTTCTGGCCGTCGACGCGCTTCGCCTGAAAAAAGCCTCGAACTCCTTATTGGCGTCTCCGCTGGCCTTGGCGACGGCCACCTTCACCGCGCAGTAAGAGTGCCGCCAGGTGCGGCGGACCGAGTGAGGTGTAGTCCACATCCCTCTACATTGGCCTGTTCATTGGGGCTTGACATCATGTTGTTGTGATCCTGGTTGTCCATCAACCCGCTTTGTCCATCCGCGTGTTCTCGCCGATGGGGAATTCCGATGCGCCGAAAGCTTGAGCCGCGCGGCGTCCCTGCCACCGTGGCCGGAAGCCGCGCTGCGAGCTGAACTGGCTTGTCAACCCCGCCCATGGCCCTGGCCTCGACCGCCTTGGCCGCTGCCCCCTCTTCCCCTTCTCCGGCGGCCCCGCGCTCGGCAGACGATGCGCTTCCTGTCCGCGGCGGCGAGCCGAACTCGACGTCTGCGTCTGTCATGGAGCTCAGGGCGAAGGGCAAGTGCAAAAGATGCGCCAAAGCCAGAGCCAGAAAGTTCAACATCGAGCTCGGACGGCGCGGGGCAAATATTCAAGGCCTTCACTTGTGGCAATATCCGAACCTCAGGGCAGTGGTCAAGTCTAGTAGAGCCAAT